AATCTAGGCCTGCTGCCTTGCTGTAGGCCTTTGCCACCTTGTCATATACCTGGACTTTAAAAAAGCCTTTTGTCTGGTGTCCCATGACCTCCTCGTAAAAAATTGGACAACTGTGGCCTCAGCTACACCACAGTCCAATGACTGGGAAATTGGGTCCAAGGTCAGACCCAGAGAGTAGTGGTCATTGGCAGTGAGTCATTATGACGCTCCGTGACCAGTGGCATACCCCAAGGCTCTGTCCTTGGACCAGTTCTCTTCAACATCTTTATCAACAATGTGGACATTGGTTTCAGAAGCACACTGGCTAAGTTCAGCGATGACACTAAACTTTGGGGCATAGCGTCCACACCTGAGGACAAGCTAGTGATCCAGGCTGACTTGGATAAGCTTAGTAAGTGGGTGGACACAAACCTGATGACGTTCAATACAGATAAATGCAAGGTACTCCACCTCGGGGAAAAAAACTCACAGTATACTTATAGGCTTGGCAGTGCGAGGCTTGCTAGCACCACTGCTGAAAGAGACTTAGGGGTCACGACTGACCACAAGATGAACATGAGCCTCCAATGTGATGTTGTAGCTGGTAAAGCAAACAAAACCCTGGCTTGCATCTATAGATGCTTCTCAAGTTAATCTCAGGATGTCATCCTCCTGCTGTACTCGGCCTTGGTGAGGCCACAGCTGAAGTACTGCATCCAATTCTGGGCTCCACAATTCAAGAAGGATTTCAAAAAGCTTGAGAGAGTCCAGGGGAGAACCACGCACATGATCAGAGGATAAGAGAATAGGCCTTACAAAGAAAGGCTGAGAGCCATCAGACTCTTCAGTCTGGAAAACCACAGGCTCAGCGGGGACCTGGTGGCTGCCTATAAGTACACAAGGGGTGTTCCTCAGGATCTGGGAGAATGTCTGTTCACCAGAGCGCCTCAAGGAAAAATAAGGATGAACGGTCATAAATTCCTACAAGACTGTTTTAGGCTGGACATAAGAAAAACATTCTTTATTGTCCAAGCCCCCAAGACCTGGAATAGACTCCCTCCAGATGTGGTGCAGGCACCTACTCTGGACTCATTCAAGAAACGCTTGGATGTTTATCTTGCTGGGGTCCTTTGACCCTAGCTGACTTCCTGCCCGTGGGGCAGGGGACTGGACTTGATGATCTTTGAGGTCCCTTCCAGCCCTAACATCTATGAAATCTATGAATTGGGCCAAAACTCTGTTGAATCGAATCAGGAACCAAAGCTTCACACAGCCCTACTGAACATCATCTTGTTGGCTCTAGCCTAGCTTTCCAACCTATCAAGTTCCTTTTAAATTGCACTTCTATGTTTCAGTGCTTGGACTCCTTCCCAATTTTGTGTTGTCTGCAAATGTTCTCAGGAAGATCTCTATTGTAGCATCCAAACCATTAATAGACACATTAAAGAGCAACACACCCAGAAAAGATCCTCGCAAGTGACTCCTGCTGTTCTGATATGGAACCCTTTATAACTGCCCTTTGCTTTTAGCTATTGAGACAGTTGTCTTTCTACCTTGAAGTAGTTTTATTTATCCTACACTTCTCCAGTTTATGAGATGGTCATGTGTCAAAATCCTTAATGAAGTCCAGATTTACTATATCCACTACATTCCCTCTATCCATCCAGCTCATTTTGTTGAAGAAAGAGATCAAATATTGTTTGACATGATTTGTACAGTAAACTCTCTGGTAACCAGCACCTTACAAGCCGGCATGCTCTGTTAACTCTGTAAGGAAAAATGAAACTGGTAGTACTCACTGTGGCACTTCTGGTTTCTCCGTGCCCCCACGGCCTGGGTTAAAGCAGCCTGCACTGCTGAGCCCCCACGGCCTGGGGGCATAACAGGCTGCGCTGAGCTGTGCGGGGCTTGCCTCCCTGTCCTGTGGGACCGGCAGGGCCTGCGGGAGGGTTGGTGATGCTGCGGAAGGGGCAGTGATGCCATGGGAGGGGCAGAGGGATGCCCCAGACGCGGCTGGAGAAGCAGCAGCCAGGGCCGCTCAATTAACTGGCATATTTTGTTATCCGGCATCCCCCATTCCCAGGGGACGCTAGATAACAGAGCTTTTACTGTAGTTAGCAAATGCATGCTGGCTGTTTGTGATCACAGCCTTTCCTCCTCCAAGGCTAGGGACAGACATTCAAAAAGCCGGAACCTGAATTGATTCAACATTTGCAGGTTAGTCTAGCCTGCCTAGGTTGAGCCAGTTTGTAACAGGACAAACGTTCTCTCTGGACTGAAGCGATGCAGGCACATGCCTACAGTTTTTTAGGCCAGGAGCTGGGGGGACACTAGAGTGCGCCCTTGACTGCAGGGAAGTGTGCTTGGGAGAAGTAGCCAGTCTGGACTGAACTGGCAAGAGAGAGGTTTAATTCCCTCCTCCCTGTCCCTCTGGCAGGGACCTGAGTCGGGTCTGCTGGACATTCCCCCTCTCACTGCTGCAGCAGCGGGGCACCATGGCTCCTGAGGCAGAGGGGGGCAGGGAGTGGGGTTAGTCTCCCCTCTACCCCCACTGGCAGCCAAGTTTGCCTGCCACTGCCACCGCACTCACTCCCTGCAGCAGAATAAGCCCCCTGCTGCCCCTTCTGCTGGAGGAAGGGGAAATAACCCTCGTCCCTGTCCCTGTCCCCGCCCCAGGGGCCCTGTGCTGCCTTGGTGATGTGCCCACTGCACATACACAGATCTCCCTAAATAGTATAAGATTTTTGGATCTCAATTCAAACAATTCCAGACTGTTTCAGAAACAGGTCTGATCCACTGAATCCACGTCTCAAGTATTTCCAATACCTGGCTTAGGGTTTTATTGTGGTCACCCGGACAGAATTCTGTTATCCTTTGTGAGCCAAAATGGCCCTTCTCCAGCTGCCAAAGTGGCCTTTCTGGCACTCAGGGGTGGGTCCAGAGAGGGAGAAGTGGGATGGTCACACTTCCTTTTTGGATCATAGTGATCCATTTTGGGTCACAGGAGCAGCAGGGAGATATGTCACTTTGCAGAAGATTAATGGAAAGACCATTTCACTATGTTAGTGTTTAAATATCTGCTGTTGCCTGAACACGCAAGACTCTTATTTGGGTTGGAGCTGTTTACAATACATCATTTCTATGTAACTTGTTGAGTCACAGAGCTTACTGCTTTCTTGAACTTAATCCAAATACGGAACTTGCATTTGCAAACACAGAAGAACTCAGGATGTGACTACCATTTCCTATTACAATCATTTGACCCAGCCTGGCTCTCATTTTTCTATGCTCAAAGGAAATCTGAAAGTTTGAGTGAAATTTCTGTCACCAAAACTCAAAATGGTCTCACTGACGAGCTGGATTCCTGTCTACATAACTATTCTTCTTCACTTACGTAAGTGACTAAGTGTGTTTCATTTCCTATTAGTTAATTGGACTTTATATTTAAGATCAAGGGAGAAGTCATGCTGCTTATTTCTTGACTGTGCTAATGCTGTTTATTTCTCAGTCATGTTATGTGCATTCTGTTTTAAAGTTGATCTCTGTGCTAAATGGAGAAGGAATATTTATCCAGGGAGTACTGTTATTTTGCTGAGACTTCCACCTAGCAGTGAGTAGCCTGAATACAGCACTACACAGTTCTAAAGACACAATTTAGTTACATGCGTGCCTCTGCTAGTGAGGTAGCTGAGGGCTTCAGAGCATCCCCTATTTGGGATTTGGTTTACAGTGTAATTAAAAAGTAATAGCCTGTATAAATTCTTTTGAAACCTCTTTCTTCCCTCCCCATGCATCTTGTGCAGAGGATTCAAGTGCACCCTCTGACCAACTCCAGGCAACGTGTACTCATGTTTCACTATGAGCATATGCCATCCAAGAATCTCATAGGGCTTTACGCATATTCACTCTCACAACACCATTGTTGTTAGGCAGTTCAGAATGATCCACCCCCATTTTACACAGGGGGAAGTGAGGAGCATTGTGTGTAATTCTCAGGAGGACTGATTCAAGCAAGATGCTGGAAGGGGCAACGGAGGGTCTGCAGCTGATGAAATCACAAAACCAGTATACCGATTGCCCTTGTTTCAGCAGATGTTGGGGACTGACGGAGGCATCCACTGTTGTAGAGAGCTGCATTTCTTGCAAGTTAACAAGCTTACATGTGCTCCCACTTGAATAGGGATATTCATAGCAAATCCAATAGTCTTGTTAGTTCCTGAAATACTGTGAAAACAGGGAGACAAGGTTCTTTGGGTAAATGTCATACCACATTTTCTTAGACCACCTAAATAGTTGGAAAAATTGTTCTTTGCAAGCTTTCAGGTACAAACACCCTTCTTCAGGCAGAGGGAGAGTCTACAGTTGTAGTGTGCTCTCCTGGATAGGATAGAAGCCAGCATGCAGGAATTCAGGTCAGGCATTTTCATTTTCACTGACCTGCAGTCCTGCATACTGGCTTCTATCCTATCCAGGAGGGCACAATTCAGCTGAGCCATGAGTTTTCAAAGAAGATGGCCAATAGGTCTGCAATCACATCAGCCAACTCCCTCAGCACCCTCCGGTGCATCCCATCTGGCCCCATGAACTTGTACACATCCAGTTTTTCTAAGTTGTCCCTAACCTGTTCTTTCACCTCTGAGGGCTGATCACTTCCTCTCTAAACTGTGCTGCCCAGTGCAGTAGTCTGGAACCTGCCCTTGCCTGTGAAGACTGAGGCAAAAAGAGTCATTATGCACTTCAGCCTTTTCTGCATCCTCTATCACAAGGTTGCCTCCCCCATTCAGTAAGGGACCCACACGTTTCCTGATTATCCCCTTAATATCAACATAATTTTAGAAATCCTTCTTGTTACCCACATACCTGCAACTCCAATAGTGCTTTGGCCTTCCTGACTTCACCCCTGCATGCCTGAGCATCGCTCTTATATTCTTCACTAGCTATTTCTTTAAGTTTTCACTTCTTATAAGCTGCTTTTGTGATTTAATTTACTGAAGAGTTCCCTGCTAAGCCAAGCTGGTTTTCTGCCATACCTGCTAGTTCTCCTGTACATCAGGATGGTTTGTTTCTGCACTTTCAGTAAGGCTTCCTTAAAGTACAGCCAGCTTTCCTGGACTCCTCTCCCCCTCAATCTGGCTTCCCAGGGGATCCTGCCCAAGAGTTCCCTGAGTGAGTCAAAGTCTGTTTTTCTGAAGTCCAGGGTCCTTACTCTGCAGCTCTCTATCCTTCCTTTCCTCAGGGTCCTGAACTCAATGATCTCATGCTCACTGCTGCTTAAGCTGCCATCCACTACTACATTCCCCACCAATACATCCCTGTTTGCGAGCATCAGGTCAAGAAGAACATGGCACCTACTTTGCCACTCCAGCACTCGCACTTGGAAGTTGCCTCCAATACTCTCCCAAAATTTCCTAGATTGCCTGTGCACTGTTGTATTGCCCTCCCAGCAGTTGTCAGGATGACTGAAGTCTCCCATGAGAACCAGGGCTTGTGACTGGGAAACTTCTAGCCGTTTGAAGACAGCCTCATCCACCACTTGCTCCTGGTCTGGTGGTTTATAGCAGACCCCCATCACAACATCACCCTTGTCGCTCTCCCCTCAAACCTTAAACCAGAGACTCTCAACAGGCCTATTGCCAGTTCCATACTGGAGGATTCATATGGCTCTTTTACATAAAGAGCAACTCCTCCTCCTCTTCTCTCCTGCCTGTCCTTCCTGAAGAGCTTGTACTCATGACAATGCTCCAGTCACGCAAGCTATCCCACCAAATCTCTGTTATTCCAATCACATCATAGTGCCATGACTGTGCAAGGGCTTCCAGTTCTTCCTGCTTGTTTCCCAGGCTCTGTGCATTTGTGTACAGGCACCTGAGGTAACTAGTGTATTGCCCTGATTTCTCAGAAAGTATGAGAGCCCCTCCCCTATTGCCCCCTCCCACTTGCTCTTCCTCCCGGTCTCCCGCTTCCCCACTTACCCCAGAGCTTTGGTCTCCATCCCCTAACAAACTTCATTTAGAGCCCTCCTCACTAGCTTAGCGAGTCTGTCTGAGAAGACACTCTTACTTTTCTTCATCAGATGGATCCCATTTCTTCCCAGCAATCCTTCTTCTTGGAACAACATCCCATGGTCGAAGAAGCCAAGTCCCTGCTGGCAACACCACCTGCAGGTGGAGGCGAAGATCTCTGCTTACTACCGGAAGTCACAAGGCTTCAGCTTCCACCCTCTTGGGAGTCCATGTGCTCTCTCTTCTTTAATGCTGCATCTGGCATTTCTTTCTCCACAGTCCTGAAGGTCTTCTCGAGGATCGAATTGATGAACGCCTCGTGGCAGAGGATGCTTTGGAGCTTTGCCGCCACCTCCTCCTGTAGTTCTCTTGCCTGTTCCCTGAGAGGCAAGACAACTACAGGAGGAGGTGGCAAGGCTCCGAAGGATCCTCTGCCACGAGGCGTTCATTGATTCGATGCTTGATAATTGGACACAGTTTATTTTTTCAGTTTTTCAAGACGGAGGTATGAGAAATAAACTACTGGTACATTCTCAAGGACCAGTGCTGTATCCAGGGACCTACTTCAATCACAGTGAGACTAAGCAATTTTCATGGGTTGGTCATAGCATAAAGAACAAATTTTGTGGATATTTCCTGGGTGTGTTCTGCCAGCCCCACCCTTTGGTGCTGATTGGTGGAGAGGCTGTGACATGGGAGGAGGAATGAGGGGGCACCTGCCATCTTGTCTACTGCCCTTCATACCTCCCCACCACTTTGTGCCTCCCCACCACTGTGTGCCTTCCCCCTCAGTGGGCTGTGAGGCTGGACCACAGCAGCAAGGACCACAGCATTATAATTCTGTCGAGTTTCTAAAGTTGATTTTATGGACTATCCTGGATTTCATGGTTTTCACAAAATCCAAGAAATTGCACATTGAGTAGACTTTTAGCTATTCACAGACTGCACCACACAGCCACTGAATTCCTCTGTATCTTGATATGCAGAATCAAGCTGTTTCTTATGGTAGCAGCTCAATATATGATGCACTTATCTATGATTCTGTTTTCTGTGTATTGCACTTTCATTTGTAAGTTCTAAATAGAGATTTGAATTGGGCTCAGTATAGAAATGGGGTTCAACCTTGAGACTGGATTTGAATTATGACTTCCCCTAAATTTGTAGGTGTGTCTAAACCCTCATCTGAGATGTTTATAAATGGTTTAATCTAGCTTGCATCTGTAATTTGTTAGCGAACAGATGAGTCATGCACGATTTCTGATTTGATCACCTTCATCCCATTCGTGTTTAACTTCAACACACATGCACATGCACACAGACTCATAAGCAGTTGGTATTTAAACAGTATCTAATAACTGTTATTAAATCGTAATCAAATCCATATTGAAGACTATGAATTGAAAACATTGCCCCAGTTCCTATGGGGTTTCAGAGGTCTCCCTCCCTCTTTAAAAAGAAACTAATAATTAAATCTCAATATATTAAACCAACTTACATTAAATATTCCATGTAAAATATTATTTCTGCCATAAAACACATAATCTGTCACTGGTTTAATTCCATTAGAAAGCACACATTAAAGTCTATGTATTATGGTGATTAGGATAATAAAAGTAATACAATATTACTTCTATTATATTTGAATTTAAAACATTCTTCATATGAGCAGAAAGAATAGTTAAGTGGGTGGATGGAAAGAAAGATTTTTATAATTTATAATGAAATGAAATTCACATGCAGAAGCAGGGAGATTTTGATTAGTTTTTAATTTGGCAACCAAACAGGAGCTTTCCACACCCCCATGCAGTTTTAAACATCCTTTTTCATTTTATCTTCTTTTACTCTGATGCTGCTAATTAGGGTTGTCCTTATATCCTACAGTGTACCAACCCATCCATAATGTAAACCCCTCAGCTTGATCTCAGTGGCCAGACATTGGGAGCTCTGTTGCACTTCAGAGCATGAAGTTAAGCCTGCTTATAGCCAACACCACCCTGAAGTGCATCTGTAACTCAGCCTGATGTTGCAAGCCACAACCACAGGAAATCAGCTTATCAGCAAACCAGTAATTTCCTGTTCCTGACTTTCAGTCCTTCTGTACCTCATGTTTCATCTCTACTACCAACAATTAATGCCAAGTACAGAAGGGGTTCACAGACTTATATCCAGAAGGGCTCTGCTCAAAAAACAAGAACCATGATATGGACAGAAGCTGTGCAGGTTGCTTACAGACATGGAAGAGTAATTTACATGACTCACACTAAATTAAGGTGACCTTGAAGATAGGGCCCAAGTATTAATATAGACTCACCCAGTCCTTATCATGCTATTTTTGGTGTTTTTTCTTAAAGCGTGAGACCTTGGAGTTATACGATTACTAGAGGAATATTAT